CTTCCTATTTGCTTAGTCATTCCACAGCCAATTTAGTTTCACCTTGTATGACCATCACAATGGCTCAAGCCTCATCAAGAGAGGTCAAGTGGACAAAACACCATTTGCTGAGAGACCTTAAGAAATTTGTTATGATGCTTCATGGGGCTTTTAAATGAATTTTAAAATCAAAGTGCTTTTAAATAAAGAGGATTCGTGGTGCCCTTTTATGGTTTCCCTGGAAAAGGGTTTCCATAAAGTTCTTAAGATGAAAAAAACCTCAAAGTGGGCAAAATAGTACTATAGTAGATGAACAAAACTGTACCATCATGCCTTATACAGAATGAATGGTAGTACTTTCTAGAACATCCCCAGTAATGTCTAAACCCTTATGGTGGGTACTTGACATTGAGCATTTATTTAATAAAGAACAAACCCATATTCCAGAGCACTAAAATGTCAGTGAGTACTCTTGACTTTGATGTGACCTAGTATCTACCAAGGCACAGAAGGAGAATTGATCTTGCTCTTGCCAAAAACCCAATAAATAATAACAATAATAACAGGTAACACTTATATAATATAGCACTTATTATTATATGTCAGGCACTGTGCTAAGCACTTTTTAAATTATTATCTTGTTTGATCCTCACAACAACCCTGGGAGGTAGGTGCTATTCTTATCTTCATTTTACCGATGAGAAAATTGAGGCAAATAAGGATTAAGTGACTTACTCAGGGTCACACAGCTAGTAAATGTCTGTGGTCTCATTTGAACTCAAGTCTTCCTTACTCCAGGCCTAGCATTGCACCACCTAGCAAATAAAAAAGTATAAGGTGTAGGACCCTGGATACTGACAGGGGCTATCATATGTGACTGTGTTCTTTACAACATCTATGCAGGCTAAACTATCTAAGGCCAAGGGCAATGATGTTTTTAATGTGATTTTGAATATTCTGAATACCCATCCACATTGTCTGATGGAGCTTTAATTAAAACTATAGCTGAAATTGATATCACTGATAACACTCTTGACCTTGGACTTTAACTTTGAGTATCTCATTCAAGTCAGCAAAGTCCAAAAGGATACTGCCAAGGATGCTCTTCTACAGGAGGACTGCAGGATTCTACACTCATAGCTGACAGCCAAATGAAATGACATGATAAAGTCTGAGACAACAGAGATCCCTTTTATGTGCTTTATATGACAAACCCTGACAGGTCCTGAGTAAAATTCTCATTCTTGGTGTGACTTGGGTGGCCAGCATTTGGTAGTGATAGAGACTGCTGCCAAAGGCATAGACTGTGAGGCACAAAGAGCATTCACTTCGGGGGTATAGACTAATGGCACTGGATTTTCTCTGGCCTCAAATGAGAAACTTGTCTTCATTGATCAAGCATTCTGTGAAAGTCAGAGTGGATGAAGTCATTTGAGGACCTTATGCTAGCTGATAAGGACATCCCTATGGTCTAGAAAGACCACCCACTTAAAAATCACACCAGTTGAGAACTGGACTTTACCGTCTTTGAGCCTTCACAGACAATATCTTGCAGGAGAATACAAACTTTTCAGACTACAGAAGAATGCGAAGAACATTGCTAGCTTGGTGGTAGGGAACACTGCTCACTATTCCTCTGACTTGGAAGCCGAGAGTACACGTATACATACACATCCATGCCTTCTTAGCTATCCCCATTGTAAGTCACAGTTACAACTTTTTCATCTGATTGAATTCCAACAGAACTTAATCACAATATAGTAAAAACTTCTTAAGCATCACTAAGAGATGGTGCAAGCAAGTAGAAAAACTCCAGATGTAGAGCTCCCTCATCTGTCAAAGACTTTTTTTTAAACAGATGTTTGAGTATGTTAACTTAGCAGAACTAAGTCTCCATTTTGTGATTGAAATGTTTTGAGTTAAGTTGTTTTCCTGTAAGTTATTCTACAATAAGAGAAACACTTGTATGATGTGATGTACTAAACAATATGTCTGTGTTTGTAAACAGCTGATAAACATATGTAGACCCTCTGATAGGATAGACCAACAATTAAAAAAAGTTACAGACAACATTATAAGTTTGATTGCGTGTATTGATGAATGTAAGTCTGATTTCTCATTTCCATTGTACTATCCAGCAGACTTAACTTGGCTTGGTGTTGCTCCATATGTTAGAGCACACTACCATGAAGACCAAGAACTACAATATTTCAGTGATAGGTATTTGCTATATTTGCAGTTGGGCTCTTCTCTTACCTTAAATCCTTGCTGTTCTCATTTGGTCTTGTAGTGTATGTAAAGCAGATATCCTTGTTCCCATTTTACAGATGAAGCAGTTGTTTCTGAGAGAGGTTCTGATTTATCCAGGGTTTCACAGTTAGTGGCAAAGGAAAAAATGGAACCCATGTCTTTAGAATTATAGATCCAAAGGGTTCAGAAGAGTAAGGAAAGGAGGGACCTTTGAGGCAGTTAGGTGTCCAGGTGGGTAGAGCTGTGCACCTGGAGTCAGGGACGCCTGAGTTTAAATTCAAATTTAGCCTCTGATACTTTGGCTGTTTTGACCCTGATATGTCACTTGAGTAATAGCATAAGTCTTCTGACTCTAAATCCAGTATTTTTTTTTTATTATTATGATGTCAGGCTGTTTTCCAATTCCTTTTTCTTCTCTTCTCATTCCTCTTCAGATTTAATTGATGGGATTTAGTCTCTTAGCAGATGCTTAATTTAACCTATTTGTTGTTGGAATGCCAAAAGCCTAAAAGTAGAGGCTGTAAGTACCAAGTTTAATTTACTCGTGATAACTAGATACATTTGGGAATACCCTTTGGCTTCAAAGTATAATTGAAGGTCAAGGTCAGAGAATTTTCCTAAGCTTTTTGTATTGTACACACTCATGATGGGTCATGGGAGTCTGGCATTATGGCAGTAAGTGCTCTCCCAACACAGAAGCTCACTTCATTGCCCACCCCCCCACCTCCACCCCCATCCTGATCTCCATTGTAAGGTCCAGAAAGCTAGATTTAGAATGGGTGATGACTTTTCCCTGGGGAGGAATTCAGGCCCTCTTAATGGAGGCTGTTTTCTAAACCTTTTCATTAAAGGGAAGACGTAGTGTCATAGTCTAATAGTCAAAAAGCTTTTCTGGGATAATGTCTCTGAAGTTTTGTATAGTAGAGAAAGAATCTTGCACTAGAAATCAGAAGACCTGGGTTCTATTCTTCACTGTGTCACGGATGAACAGGGCAACTTATGGCAGAAACAATAATAATTCAGATTTGTAAATTGTTTTATGGTTTACAAAGTCCTTGCCCCACAAGTGCTCTTTGGGGTAAGATCTCTGAGGGTCTGCTGGGGAGAATTGGAATAGAAAGACTGAAAATAGAAATTGAGCAATTGAGCCGTCATATATAGAACTGGTGGAAGGAAGTCCTGGTGGTCAGCAATCTCTCTTTCCACTATTTATGTATCTCCCTGTTTCTCTTCAGGTAGTGTTATCAAAACCAGGTCTGGGAAAGAGGGGACAGAGGAGCACATTGGACAACACACTGAATTTGAAGTTAAGAGATTCAGATCTTGACTCTGTTAATCAACACTTGTGCGACCTTGATCATGTCACTTAATTTCTCTGGGCCTCAGTTTCCTCACCTGTAAGTTGAGAGAGTTAAACTAGAATTGGTTCTAAAGACCTTTCCATCTTTAAATCTATGATCATATAAAGGGCTTCTAGCAGCCAAAGGGTACCTTGAAACTCCTTACTGCTGACTGGACTGTGTCAGTGTCTAGTGTTGGGAACTTTTTTCAGGTTGTCAACATGGTATAACATAAGGAGAAAGAATTTTTTACACTCCAGCTTTCTAGTCTTATTACGCCTTGCCCCATTCTGTATAATCTATTATCCAGACAGTGGCCACCTTGCTGTCTTTAAGCAAGATGCTTCATCTCCCAGCTTTGAGTAATTTTCACTGGTTGTCCCCCCATGCTTGGAACACTTGCTCTTTTCATCTCTACTTCTTGACTTCAAGTCTCATTTAAAGTCCTACATTTCACAAGAAACCTTTCCCAATCTTCCTTAGTGCTAGCACCTTCCCTTTGAGATTATTGCCAATTTATCCCGTATGTATTTTGTTTGTACATAGTTGTTTTCATGTTATTTTCCCCATTAAACTGTAAGCTCCTTGAGAACAGGAACTGTTTTTGCTTTCCTTTGTATTCCCAGGTTTAACACAGTGCCTAACACATGGTAGGGGCTTAACAAATGTTTATTGACTAACCAACTGGCTTGTAGTTTGGGGTGGAAGTAGGCCATAGTGAAATTGTCAGGCACCATGACAACCTTGGCCCTTGAGATGTGTTGAACTCTGGTGTAAGGATTCTTGTTATGCGATTCCCAGAGCATCAGTACCAGCTCATCCATAGAAGGAGGAAGTTACTGTGGTATGTCCTTGGGCTCGAAATAGTCAGGATCTGGGCAGAGAGAAGAAAAGAGTTTTTATTGTTGAATTTCTAGGAAGAGTTTTGTCATAGCTTGGAATGTGGAAGGCCCTAACCTTTTCCCCTACCCTTCCTTCCAGTGTAATTATTGAAACAGCTACTGGTCAGTTAATTTAACTCCTGAGACTTTTGCCATCGTTTGACCAAAGGAGGCTCTACCAGAAATATGTGCTCATAAAATTTATGCAAGTATCCTGAGTATGGATTGTAGTCACATCCTGGAACACCATAGGTTGTTGTAATGAACCTGATGTCTTGGACTTTTCCTGTTTGTGTTGTTCTTATCTGTCTGTGTCTGTTGGCTTCCCGGTGGGTTTCTGGCACATAACTAGGGGTTAAGAGTTCTTTCTGTTCAGAGGGGCAGCCTGTTTTCATGGAGGGTTTGTTCATTCCTTGTAATATATTCATGGCTTTGTTTTTCAAAAACAAACAGAATCTCCACCCACATACTCCCTAAATGGGTTTTTGCTCAAAAACGTTTGTACTCTTACTGCCAGAAGTAATGGTGTGATATCTCCTTGTTTTTGAAGCACATGTGGAAAATGAAGAACAGTATACACAAGCCCTGGAGAAATTTGGTGGCAATTGTGTGTGCAGAGACGATCCAGATTTAGGAAGTGCATTCCTGAAGTTTTCGGTGTTTACAAAGGAGCTTACTGCACTTTTCAAGAACCTGGTAAGAGCTTGTGCATGTGACATTTCATCAGTTAAATTGTGACAATCTTTGAATTATTTTAACTGCAAAGTGAGCTCAGTAAAAGTATCAATTTCATGTATTGTAAATGTGTTGAGTGGTTTTTCTTTGGTACATAAAATAATTCCATTTTATGAAAACATTCGATTATTCTAGTATCTTGGATATTAATTTGATTATTAGTAATAGCTAATAATAGAAAATTTATATCTAAGATACTAGAATATCTTAAAATAGTAAAATTTTAATTTTCATTCTATTTGTAATAATATGTTTAGGTGATACAACAGATAGAGCAATGGACCTGGAGTCTGGAACACTTCATTTCAAATCTGGCCACAGACATGTAATACCTTTGTGATGTTGGGCAAGTCAGTTTCCTTATCTGTAAAATGAGAAAATGATAATAGCATCTACTTCCCAGGATTGATGTGAGGATAAATAACATTTATAAAATACTTTTCAAAACTTAAAGCAATATAGAAATGCTAGCTATTATTGTTGTTGTTGTTGTTGTTGTTGTCATTCATCAATTTAGGCTCTGGAGAATAGATAGCTTTAGGACAATGTGTGTGTTTTGCTCTGTTGAAAGCTCTGTAACATCCCTGGCTTTTGTTTCAGTAGTTTCTAAATGGTGGAGATTCCTCCCTTGGGAAGGATTTGTAGGTAGTCATTTTCATTTTCAATATCAGATTTTAAAAAATGTTTTGGACCAGACGTGTGATTTCATCAGTGTAAGAAACTCTTTATCATAAAAACTTCTTCCACTGATACAGATCAGCCACTCATCTGTAACATATAATCTGTGAAAATTGCTTAAGGCCCTGAGAGGTTATGGGACTTGGCTTGTGTTCACACAGTCAATATGTGTTAGAGGCAGAAGTAGAACCCAGATCTTCCTGAATGCACAGTCAGTCCACTGTCATGCTGCCTTTCTTTAATAAATACTTCAGAATCTTTGGAGTGTAGGATCACCTGTAATTAAAACTATGATAACATAGAGATTTCTTGTAGTCCCAGGTGCAGGGACTAGAGAAGCAATGCCCTCCCAATGCCTTTTTACTTGAAAAATGTAAAATATGAAAAAATAGACTGGCCATGGTGGCACACACCTGCAACCCTTCCTGCTGGGAGGGCTGAGGCTTGTGGGATCACTTGAGCTTTGGAATTAGGAGCTGTGGTAGAGCCAAAACTGATTGTGCATCTGTGCTTTCTGGCACTGTTATGTTGAGTTCCGAGGTAGAGATTTGAGGTTAGGGAAGGGAACACCAGGCTGCTTGAGGAGGGTGGAACTGGCCCAAGTTGAAAGCAGAACAAGTTCAAGCTTTTGTACCATTCAGCTTTGGGAACAGGCCTGTAAGTTCCTGATGACTTCCAGTGAGAGAAAAAGAAAGAGAGAGGCCCCATCTCCAAAACTAAAATATTTTTAAAAATATTAAAAACTAAGTTTTATAGTACTTTAGAGTTTGCAAAAGTCTTCTTTATCTAGCGATTGGTACGATGGAAAAAGCAGTGGCTCTGGTATTAGAAGATCTGGGTTCCGATTCCACCACATGTTATCTTTGGGACCTTTGTCAAGTCACTAAACCTCTCTTGATCTCATTTTCCTTGTCTGTAAAATGATAGATGAAATCTGGATTGAATGAAATGGTCTTTCAGATTCCTTCCAGCTCTGAATCTGTGAACCTGAGATCCTAAGATATTCTTTGATACTTCAGCAGAAATGGGATCTTAACTGAAGTACTGTTTCTGCAGGTTTATTTTACAACCTATTCACCCTCCCTTTTCCTGTACATTTCTTGTCCACATTCTCTTACCAATACTCTACTGAATAGCCATCCATCATATTTGGAGACCTTCATGCTGCCCATCTGTTATTCCTTCCTTACTGTGAGATATAATTGATAATAAAATCTACACAAATGTCCTGGGTTTAGCTTGACTTGAGGCAAAATAGGCTTTCTCTGAAGACTGCTCTTTTGCTAGTTACCACTTTTATTTCTCTGTAGCCATTGGAGAAGGGTAAAACATTTCATTACTTGTTGTGATCTAGGCTGGTTCTTGTGTTCCACAAGTGAAATATACATTGGTTTGTGCATCTTCCCCACAGTTCTTTTTTCCTGCTTGCTCCTGCTAGACTTTGCCTAGAAAGGTCAAAAAACGACCAGGTCAGGCATTCATAAATGTGTTCTGTGTCCATCTTTCATCTGTAGCTGCAAACAACAGTGTCTCTTTCATTTATCCTGTCAGGATGCTTGGACCAAGGGAATAAATAGCTCTTCATTCTTGGAATGATGGTAGTGGTTTACAAGTCTCTTCTCAAAAGGGCACAAGAGAGGGAACATAATGTATTATTAGTTAAGAATGAGAAGAGGAAAAAACAGGGCTGCCCAGCTGCTGATTCATTGTGAGAGTTGAAGCCAGGGCCTCATTTGATTTCTTTCTCTGCCCCTGCTTCTCCATCTTTCAACTAGAAATAATTCTTCCAATTTGTGGGAGAGAGTGGAGATTAATAGCCTAAATTTCTTTTTCTTTCTTTCAAAGAATACAAAAAAAAATCTCTCAAGTTATTTTTGGATAATGCTACTAAAATTTATGGCATGTGTTTCACCTTAGTTTCTTGAAAGCTACCAGGTTGGAGAAGCTTCCAGTATGACTGGAGGCTGACTGTATAAATGCCTCTGGTTTCAGAACTAGGTTAAATAAGTTTGGGAAGACCTTATCAACAGAGGGATGAATTTTTATGGCTTTAGCAGTCCATAAAAATTATCTGTTGAAGCAAAGAGGGGCTGCAGTTTCTTTTAGTGGAGTGAGGGATATTACCCATCCTCCCCATGATCATTATTTTTTTTCAGAACTCCTGGCGGGTCTGTTTTGGCACATACTAGCAGGTCACTTAACTCCTCTAAGCCCAAGTGTTGTCCTCTGTAAGGTGGAAATAACAATGCTTTCACTAGATACCTAAAAAAAGGATATTGGGAGGAAATTGCTTTGTAACCTTTAAAAAGCAATAGAAATGTGAGTTGTCATTGTTAATGGGATATTGCTTAGCTGTTGCTATTTGCCATTTTTGAATACCCTGGGTGATGATAATATGTCTGGACAGAGTTGATATATCAGTCAGTTATTGGTATTGTTGAAGACAATTAGCTGGTAATAAACCATTAAGGTGGTCATAGTAGGGTTTTTTTGTTTGTTTTTTAAGAAAAGAATCTAAAAAATACAAAAACTTAAAGAAGGCTTATAAATTCAAGTTGATAATGCTTTTGTTTTTATTATGCTCACTGTCTGCTCTCTTTAGTACCTCCTTATCTTAGTTCTTTCAGCTTTTCTGTCACTGTATTAGGTTTGGAAAACTCATACTATTGTTTTAGAAAAGATGACTGGAATATAGAAAAGGAAACTGGCTATTTGAAAACTCTTGGATGATGCCACTGTGTCTGAAGACTTTGAGAAGAGACTTTAAACACTGCTTTCTGAATTAACCTTGCCTTAGAAATTTGTCAAGCATGGATGGTATCATTATGCTATAGTAATTGCTTGCCTTAGAGCAAGTGATTAGTATGGCACGCTGGGTTCTTGATGGGATGTTATATGGCCTTACCAAGATGTTTCTTCTCAGTAGGTCATGTTGTATGCATTAGTAGTACTTCTGAATTCCAAGTTCAGGTATGATTGTTTCTTCATTCCTTCCTCATGAAGATGAAAATGAAAGCAGTTGATTTAATAAAAAAGAACACTAGATTTGTTGAAGTTAAAAGTTACCAATTTGAATACCACCTCTGCTACAGGTATTAAACTTCCGTGACCTGGGGCAAGGCACTTCCCCTTTCTGGGCCTCAGTTTCCTTACTTGTAAAATGAGCAGGTTCAACCAAGTGATCTCTAAGGTTCCTTCTAGCTCTTGTCTTTTGTGGAAATTTCTATGTATATTTGTTTCTTTTAGGACAGATGTTTACTAATGGACTCCCTTGAGGACTGAGAAAGCATTTTGGTATTTTATAACACCTCAGAATCAACATCATGGAAAACAGTTATCATTATTCTCAGACAGAAATTAGAATTGGAAGAAACCTCAGTGGACATTTAATCTAACTTCTTGCCTTAGTTCCAGTAACTGTATGGTCTTGAGGAAGTCATTGTTTGGGCCTTGGTTTATAAAATAGAATTAATAATTTGCCTTCCTGGAAGTAGGAAATAGACAGGATGCTCGATACTCCTTAAAGTTCTTGAGTCTGTGATTTCTTTTGAAGAAGGTAGAACATTAACTGTGTTCTGAAGGTAGTAAGGAGTAGAGAGGGATTGAGAATTGGGAATTATGTCTGGTGGATTTGTTCTACCCTGGCTTTTCTGCTCTCCCTGAATTTGCTTTTCTGTTCTCAGTGATTAGAAGAATGTGAATCAAGGAGTGAAAAAGCATGTACTAAGTGCTTATTATCACATGGCAGGACCATGCTAAGTGTTTGGGATACAAATAAAAGCAACAGTCCCTATTTTCAAGATGCTTACATGCTAATGTTGTTGTTGTTTGGTTGTCCAGATGTGTCTCTGATTCTTCATGACCCCATATGGGATTTTCTTGGCAAAGACAGTGAAGTACTTTGACATTTCCTTCTCCAGTGGATTAAGGCAAATGGAGGTTAAGTAACTTGTCCAGGGTCACATCATTAGTAAGTGTCTGAGGCTGCATTTGAACATGGGTCTTCCTGACTCCGGTATGTGTATTTCAAGTTTTGAAAGTTTTATCTGCAAAAAATCCCCAAAAACAAACACACAAAAAACCCCCAAAAACAAAGCGAAACCAAGGGAGAGTAAAGGCTTTCTTGTTAATAGAACTCTTGTGTGACATCCCTGGTCTCTTCTGTGGCTGCAGAATTGTATTACTTTCAAGAAATCTTAGAATTGGAGCAGACTTTCTTTGGAAGTTATCTATAGTTTAGGATATGCTTGAAACAGGCATGTTGTCATACTGATCTTCCTTAT